ATTGTATTGCTGCTTGCTATGATGGATGGATTCAGCAATGGTATTGTATTGCTGCTTGCTATGAACCAACACGTTCTGTTTTTCACACTTGTTATCGTTCCACCCCACAGGCAGATATGTTGCATTAATTTTATTAAGCAAGTTTATAAATTCAAAAGTATTATTAGTGATTTCCAGAATACTGGTAATGTAGCTAATCATATTGCTTAGTCCACATTAAAGCAGATGTTAACTCTGATTTAGGAAAATGATTTTACACTTTGCAAAATGTGGTCAGGAATCACCACAGGCCATTTATTCATGTCTCACACTAGAGCTCATTCTAATTTACCTGGACCCATTACTTTGGGTAACGCAAAAGCTGATATTCTAACTTGCGTAATGCACGCTCAAAGTTTAACTACTTATTTTCATGCAGCACAAGATGAACATCACCACTTGCACAACAATCCTGTTAGCTTCCATGCCCACTGGAGTGGGCTGAGGGATGTCCAGTAACTCGTCAGTGTGATACTTGTCAGCTCGCTCATGCTGGAGAAAGGTCCTCGGAGTAAACCCCGGGTGTGAGAGCTCCCACATCGACCAGGGGCAAGCGGGCGGTCACAGCTAGAAAAGAGATGAGAGAGAGCAATAAGACACAGCTGGGGTGCAGGGTGCTCCACGAGCAGGGACTCCCAGGCTCATCTCTTTATCCGAGGCAGGTTTGGGCACCACACTCATCACATACTCTGCTCACATATCCCCCTTGCCTTCTTTGAAGACAAAGAAGCAGGAATATATATATATTTTAATCATTTTATTGGGGGCTCATACAGCTCTTATCACCATCCATCCATCCATTGTGTCAAGCACATTTGTTGCCCTCATCATTCTCAAAACATTTTCTTTCTACTTGAGCCCATGGCATCAGCTCCTCATTTTTCTCCCTCCTTCCCTGCTCCCCCCTCCCTCATGAACCCTTGATAATTTATTAATTATTATTTTGTCATATCTTACACTGTCCGACGTCTCCCTTCACCCACTTTTCTGTTGTCCATCCCCAGAGAGGAGGTTATATGTAGATCCTTGTAATCGAAATATTTATTTCTCATTACAAATAAATGAAATTTTGTCTTGAAGCATGGTGTCATGGATAACAGACCTTATATAGCAACAGTAAACTACATTGCTACAGTTTGCGACAGTTTGCGTAAAAAAACCAACGTCAGTGCGAAGGTTGAGATAGCTTCTTTCTCACCAGATCAGAAATTCTCAGGGCAGTCTTTGCAAGAGCACAACGAAGATCATCTTCCACAACAAGTCTACCTCTGTATTCAGACTTGATAACCAACAAGCTGGAAAACCCCGTTTCACAAAGTTGGAAATGGAAAAAGGTGCAACACAGCCTCAGACAGAACAGGGTATGACTGCAAACACTTGATCCAGAATGTTGTAACTGGCATTGTAGAGAAATCAGTTCTTGCTGCATCGCTGTTAGTAAGTTCAATGAACTTCTCTTGTGCATCTCAGGAACATCTTCAACTCTGTAAATGGGCTTCTGGCAAGTGCAAATGGGGTGACAGGTAGATTTGGAAAGTACGATGGAATTTTGTCTGCAAGCATGTGCAAGTGTTCTTTCACAGAAATTATCATTGTAATCCTTTTGTCTGGTTCAATGTCATGTTACTCAAAGGATGAAGATAAGGTAGGCAACATGTAAATTTTATTTTCATCCATTTTTTGGGGCCAAAGCTGAAGTTTCATTTGGAATGATCGGATCGTTTCAGACAAATCGAGGCATGTTGCATTTGGTCCTTGCAGTGATAAATTTAACATGTTCAAGATGGCAAAGATGTCAAGCAAGTAAGCTATTTTCTGCAGTTCACTTTTATTGCTGAAAAGTGCTTTGAACTACAGTCTTGCTTTCTGATTAAAAAAAGGCTTTGAGTTCATCACAAAGCTCAAAAACACGTTTTAAAACTTTTCCTCTCGACAATCATCTCACATCAGCATTATTCAGCACATCCAACTCGTCTCACGTTTCTCAAAAACAGTCAACTGTTTAAAGTGCTCACCTTTACAAAACTGACAGAACTTAGGACGTTTTTCATTACTTCTTGTAACTCTGTGGCAGAGTCTTCCTTGCTAATATTTGCCGGAACTCATAAAGTGAGTTCTGATGACTTTTGGTGACTCACTCAGTACCAAACGTTGAAATCCAGATCGACATCCTAGCATAGCTGGAGCACC